TACATATTAGCTATTAGCAGTTAAAATTGAATCGCCTTACTCACTCTCTTCCTCTTTTAATAATCGACTGCGTGTCTGCCTATAAAAGAAAGTTATGCTGATCCTTTGTCGAGCGTTATATACGGAAGGACGGTTTACGTGCCAAATTTTATCAAAATTCCAAATTTCATTAATTGTGTAATCCTCTGCTATTTACTTCAGTCCTTATATGGAATCATGCATTTAAATAAAATTTACAGTTTGTGCATTGAATAAAAGGCTTTAACTCACTTGAGTATATTTTTACTTGAAAACATGCTAATATTTATTTTATTATAAGCGTATTCCCCAAAAATTTTTTTAAAAGTTTTTTATAAACGTACATGCTTCTTTCATTTACAAAATAATGAAACTTATGGGCTATAAATCCACTCTTATTTGGTAAAAGTATAAAAAATTGAATACCTGGAAATCTAGTAAAAATAAAATTCTGGAATAATATTTCCAATAAGTTATTTAAGGCCGCGTATCAAACCACAAAAACCGAATGAAAGTGGCAATAGTAGGAGTTGTTGTTTTCGAAATTTCTAAATATTTTTATGGATATTTTTACGTGTTGTAACTTATTCATCGAATTATCTTTTGTCAATTATTTGAAAAATTAGGTTACTGGTGCCAATAGAGGTATCGGAAATGGTTTGGTTGAAGAATTTGCTCGCGAATTGAAGCCCTCCTCAAATTGGGATATCTACTTGACTGCACGAAATGAAAGATTGGGTTTAGATGCAGTAAATGAACTTTCCAAGAAGGGACTGGCGGTGAAATTTCATCAACTCGATATCACCAATCCAGAGAGCAGGAAGGAGTTGGCTCAATTCATCTCTGACAAATATCCCGATGGGATACATATTCTTGTTAACAATGCCGGTGTCCTTCTTGATGTGAGTGCTTCATTAATTTAAGTGAAAATATGCTCACACAAATGTATCATCTTATTTAGTGACTTCATAGTCGAGTGTTCAAATAGTCTTACATATGATTAAATTTTTATGTCATTTGTTGCCTTGACTCCAAGTAAGTTTCAGGTTAACTTTCTAATCAGTTAGTGAGTTTATCTTCATGAATCTTGGAATTCTTTTCCGTTTCAATGGTTAGTTAACTAACTTCTTGTCCTCGGAATTTATTTCTTCCGTGGTAATAGGATCTAATTGACAATACGTCGTTGTCTCTATCTTCAAAGCGGTCATCATATTTCATCAATGATAGCTATCGAAAAATGCATCTTTATAACTTATTGGTGCTTTTTAACTTAAGGCACTTTGACATATATACGGACAACTTTTGTACGATCCATAAGTTTTAGTGATAATGTTTTTCAATGACATTCCATAGTAAAATCTAAACGTGAGTCAAATTGAGTTAGAACCTTGACTTTTGGATTAATTATTGTGTAACGGAGAATCATTTTCAATTATGGAAAATAAGTCATAAGCACTCTTATATCAAATGCTCATGGAAACACACAAATTTGTTATTAAGGCAGATCTTTCAGAGATAGACTTTCTAAGCGCTATCGAAGTCAGATTACGCAGTGTTGAGAGATCATCTTAAGTGTATTATGGTGTGTATGGAAATGGAAGTTAGGCTTGATCAAGGAAGTTGTAATTCGTGAAATTGACTCTCTTGTGGCCCATGCTCAGGCATATGAACAACTAATGAAGGTTCAATGCAGGATAAATAGAGCAAATCAAGTGAGTCAACATCTTATGCGAAAGCATACTGGGAGGTGTGTAGAAAGTACATTCTCGAAGGGCATGACTGGAGTAGGAATTATTATTTTGGGAATAAGAGGTGAAAGTAAATGGGATTGGAACTGTGGGACACACCTTCCACTGTGGATAAGTAAAAGGAAGTCCGCACCTTATGAGACTGTGATTCAAGTGAATGAAGATTACATGCGTTATGCTATTCATGCATCATAGGTGAATTCGTTGAGAAGCAGTTTGGGGAAATACTTGGGTGGGGTCGGTTGATTGTGTCTACTTCCTTTCTTTAATGTTGCTGTTATTTTCAAATTATCCCTTGAACTGGCTCGAGTTGAATCTGCTGCCAGCGTTTACGACGATGCGAGGATATGTATTGTTTCAATCTTTTATTAGATCGAGACCACTGAAAATTGGGCCCTGTCATTCTTCATTAATCTTTATGCCTAATAAACAGTGGCCAGGTCGCTACTACTTGGTAGCATTAAACTTCATGCCTCTCATTTGAGTGCTTAGAGTTGAGGGTTTATGCTTTGGAGGCATGACTTAATTTGCCTATGGAGCAGAAGAATAGTGCAGAGGAGGTAATGAATAAATTGGTTTAGAAAACAGGAGAGTTGAATGGAAACATCCTAGTTAATAAAGTAGCACTTACTTATTGAATCATAGTATGGTGGATGTGAGTCAACAAATTGCCAGAGTTATTCCTCTTAGTGCTTTGTTCTGTGGACTTGGGTGAAAAACACGTCGTATGGTACATGATAACATTATTTTAACTATTTGTGACACCCTTGCGTGGTTGAATTCCTGCTCTTGATCCAACCCAATTCATCACCTTTTCAACGGTATTCAATTGGGTTTCACCGCTTTGTAACATCCATTTGGCATTTATAGGGTGGATCAGGTCTCACATACGCTGAGAGAGCAAAACAAACCATGGATATCAATTACACAAGCAACGTTAAAATGTGCACGGAATTTATGCCCCTTATGGCTCAAGACTCTCGGTAATTTGAAAGTATTGAAGCCTTCTCTTTCCTTGCATTGATTCGGCTTTCACATCTAAGTTTCACCTTCTAGATTGGTGAATATGTGCACAGGGGATCTTGTGTGGGCTTTTCAAGGCGTGAGCAAGGAGATTTCTGATAAATTCCGGAGTCAAATGACTTTGGAGGAAATCGATGAGATCATGGCTTCCTATATAAGGTAATTACCTTCAATAGGGAAGAAATTTATGTTGAAATTCCTCTGCTAACTGCTCTTTTTTTCTCCTTTTAGTCATGCATACAAGGGTACTCATAGAAAAGCTGGTTTTGTTCAGTCAGCTTATGGTATTTCCAAATTAGGTTTCTACAAAGCTACCGTCACTTTAGCTGAGCAAATGAAGTCTGACCCTCGTCATATACTTATCAATTGTGTAAGTTACTTACTACGGCATTTGGTTAGTTGCATACAGTTATATGTGCCTAGAATTCGAATAACTTGCACATGCCGCATTTTTATAAGTCTTCTGCTCTGTAAAGCGATTACAAGTTCAGGTCGTTACTTGCATACGGCTTTATAAGCCTAATAAAGATTAATATATTTGATTGTAGTGTTGTCCTGGCTACGTGAGGACCGATATGACAGGTTATCATGGAAATAAAACTATTGCCCAGGGTAGGTGCACTTCATTTATCCCACTCTTGTCTTTTTTGTCCTTTCTCTGGTTATGGAAAAGGTCAGAAGGTCATATAATGCTGTGAATATTTCAAATGGTAGATGCACAAATGAAGCCTTGTTTCTGCATCCCTTATTGCACCAAAGACTGAGTCCCATTTGCTCCCGTCTTTTGATTAACCTCATGGTAAATCTGTCATAGTTCGGTTTGACGGTAAGTACGCTGTAATCGTAGTGTAGTAAATAGAGGAAGTAATAAAGATATCACTTACCTTCCAGAGACATTTCGTTTTTATTCTCAAAGACATTTTTAAGTATTTTTAATCACTGCCCCCAGCCCCCCCCCCCC